AATTTTAAGGAGTTCTATTTAAAAAATTGGAGAAATGAGGTTTTAAAATTTTGATAAAGAAAAGAAGTAATATAAGTGAGTAATAAAAATAAATTAAAAGCTTTTGACCCCACTTCTTCAATTTTTTAAATTGAGCTCATTAAAATTCTTTCTCCCCTCTCCTTCCCTCTATTTCTCTTATACCAAACAGAACGGGTGTGTAAATTCCTCATCCAGAAGAAAGAATAACAAAAACAAAAGTCAGTTTTTTTTATCCAACAAACAGGCATTATTTTTAATAGAAGAGATTTTGACCGCTTAAGTACAAAGTCTCGAGTTAAGTCCATATAAAAAAATGCCTTTGGACAAGATATTTTTATTGGGTTTGGCAATACTTAAGTCTGATTGCGATAGTCATATAAAAAAAATCTTAAAATGTATTCTTAATATTGGGAATGTGCTTGCTTAATTTAAAAAAAAAAAAAAAGGGTAAAAAAGAACACCAACTTGCCTGCGAATCAGTACCTTAGTTACAGTGTTATTACTTAGAAATTAAGGTGCTTAACTCAGTAAACAAACCAAGTATTTTCAGTTACGAAAGATACCTACTCGGTTGCTTCTTAAGTTATGATCTTTCAGAAGTATTTAACTAACAACAAATTAAACGGTTGGAATTTAGGGAGAATCATCAAAAAAAAAAACAACAAATTAAACAGTTGGAATTTAGGGAGAATAAAAAAAATATATCTTTAAATTTCAAAATTTTAAATCCGGTCACTACACTTTACTAATAATTGATAATATTTAGAAAGTAAATGACTACATTTTTATAATCATTCTTAATTTGAGATTTTAAGATTTTAGAGGTATTTTTTTGAAAATTTTCCTTGAGCTTATTTTGAAAGATATGCCATTTCGCTCTTATCTCGCTCTTATCGCCCTAATTGTATTTATATTGAACCATACACATCATAAGGGTGAAATAATGGTTAACGACTCAGCCAAAAAGATTTTCAAAAAAATACAGTTAATGGGGACCCCTCTAAATGCTTGTGAAAGCATGCATTGTTCGGGTTCATGAATTACTAACCTTTCGTAGTTGTTACTTTTGCTTTGGTACTTAGTATAGATTTGTTTTTTAACTATAAGACCTAGCCCTTCTGGTTTTAAATATAAGAGATTAATAACTAATTTATAAAAATTAAAAGAATTAACTAACTTAATTGCTTATAATAAATGTGTGTTGGTCTCTCTGAAACACCTCCTCTAATCATTTGCATAGAAAATTATCCTCATTAAAAAAAAAATCCTTGGAGCATGTGCAGTACTATTTGATAAAAGAATTATAAATTTATGATACAGTACCGCTTATGATGTGTTATAAAAAAATATTTTTTTTAATTAATTTCAAAGTGCTTTAAATTAAATGAAATAATTAGAGTTGGAGGAGAAAGATTATCTCATCTTTTGAAAAAAAAAAAAACAAGAAGAAGTTAAAATATACAATTCTCTTTAAATTTACTTCAGGTTTTAGTTTAGTTCTCTAAATTTATGAAGTGTATTTTTTATCTCTATTTAACATTGCAATTAAATACAGATAAACCACACTCTCTATTAATTCTTCAATCTTTTTTTGGATAAAAAGACACTCCATTAAAAACTAAGTAAAACAATATGTAAATTTGTAGGTCTCTTTACATGATAAAATATGATAAAAATACAAGAACCCAACAAAAATGTAAGAAGAAAATAGAAAACAACCGCAAGAATATGAACTCTTGAACCAGAAAGAGAAGATCTTGGAATGACATAACTCGGGCCATGATACTGCAAGATATAAGAGCCGAACATGAGTAGAGGGTGAGGCAATCATGCGCAAAATAAGTACCAAAAACATATGCAAACTGCCTCGAACGATTAATAAGCCCGATAAACTACTAAGATGGACATCTCAGTAGTTGCTAACGAACTTAATTAGAGATCCTTGTTTTGTATCATGAGCATTTCTAGAGCTTCTTGGCAGAGTCTCCGTAAAAATCCAGTAGAAGATCAAGAGGCCCAACTAGTGGAGCACACTATTAGATGGAGAATAAATTAATTAATTCTTTAACTAAATCATTTTTGTAAGAAAAAATTACAATGAAGTCCCAAGAAAAAAAATGATTACCAATAAATTCCAATAACAAGTGAGCAATTGATAAGCAGTTATGATTTACTATCCTGAATCTTGTCATTAAAGGCTACTTTGTTATCATTAAAACTTTTAACAATTATATTCCTTATTTTGAACTTTATAACAACTATCCCTCTTTGTAAATGCTTAGATTTTTAATATTTTAATATTTTTAGTATTTTATCATATAACTAATTATTTAAAATTTGAAATTTTAAAAGGAAAAAATTGGTTAAATTTGGGAATGGGACCTGCAATAAATGTAAAAGTATGAACCTTTCAAGCAATAGTAAGTGTGATAGGAAAAAGGTCATATTACCCTAATAGATGCTAATTGCATATGACGGATCCTCACTTGTATATGACGGATGTCTACTTGCATTAATGTTTAATGGATACTCACTTGCATATGATAGATATTTGTTTATCACATAATATAAATGCTCATTTACATATAACAAATGTTCACTTACATATAATAGATTATCATTTGCATATGATAGATCTCTACTTGCATATGAGTTTGTTGTGTAATATAGATGTTGATTTGCATATAACGAATGCTTACTTGTATAAGATGAATCCCTACCTACATATGAGTTTATTGTGTAACATAGATGCTCATTTGCATATGACAAAAGATTACTTGCATATAACGGATCCTTATTTACATATGAGTTTATTGCATAATACAAATTTCTATTTTCATGTAGATGCTTATTGCATGTTAGTGCTTAATACGAATGCTAACTTGTTGATGAATGGTATGTAACACCATATGTCATCAAAATCATGGTTGTAATTAGCTTTGACATGAAAATGAAATGGAAAAACCGCTAAAAAAAAGACTGTAAAGATTGCCAAATTGTAAATAAGGTATGTTATAAAAATATTTTATCCTTTGCAATTCAATTATTGTCAAAACCTATATAAGTTTGTAATGGGTCCCAATTTGTGATTTTGCAATTTTCAATAATTTTTTTTGCAATTTTTTGCAAATAAATATGTTGTTGGCCTACATTTATATGAATATTTTTTTTTATTTTCTAGGTTTAAATTGCATTTTTGTTCCTTGAATATTTTAGGTGGAGTCATTGACACCCTTAAAAATTGATGAGTAATTGACTTCTTCTGATAGCAATCCTCTGTACCAATTTTTGTAATCTTTTTATCGCTATTTAATGTTGATGTGGAAACGTAGAAATTTTTTTTGAGGGAGTATTTAATATGGATAAAGTAGAATTTTTTAAAAATTTTTAGGCAAAATTAAAATAGAATTGCTGAAGATGACACTAAGGGCCTGTTTGGTTTGAGGGGAGGGTAGGGGAGGGGAGGGGAGGTTTCATCCTCGCCTTGTTTGGTTTGATTAAAAAGGAAGGAATGGGAGAATATTTAATGATCCCTTGTTTGGTTCAAGGAGGGGAGGGGAGGGATAGTAATAATCAATTTACCATTTTACCCTTACATATTAGTTTATATTTTTTATTGATATATTTTATAAATTAATTTACATCTTAATTCAAATCATATAATTTAATAAAAATTCAGTCTTATCATATTAATATGTGTATTAAAAAATTGGTACAGTAATTTTTTATTCTAATTAATATAATAATATATTTAAAATAATCAAATTAATAAATTTTCTATGCTCTAAGAAAAATGAAATTTTATTCTCTTTAGGCTATCTTTTTTTCCAGCTTTAAAATATATTTAATAAATAATATATTTATAAAAAAATTAATTTTATAATATTATAATTTTTTATTTAAATAATTTTTTTATTTTTAAATAATTTTTTATAATATATTTTTAATTATAATAATGTATATATTTTTTATTTTTTTACTTAGGATAATATATTTTTATTTGAAATAAATATTATAATAATATATTTTATGGGTAGAAGTAGAATATTAAAAAAACTATAAGGGCATAATAGTCAAAAAATTTGGCTCCCCTCCAAAAACCCCCAATTTGGAGGGGAGCCAAAATGGGGGAAGGGAGGGGAGGGGAGGGGACATTTTAGCTCCCCTCCCCTCCAAAATTTTTAACCAAATGAGGGGAGGGACTCATTTCCCCTCCCCTCCCCTCCAAACAAACTGGAAATAACATACTAGCCTATAATATTTCAAAATGTGTATAATGTTTCAAGGAAAAATTATTTTACATGTATCATATACTTTTTCTTAATTTTTAATGATGCTGATATCTTTTTTAACTTAATTAAATATTTGATTTTCCTCTATTAATTTGAAAAAGTATAAGTACTTGTAAAATAATTTTTCCAAGTTTTAACCATCAACAATACGTCCAACGGTTTGCTTGCGGGTCGCAAGTGACAACAATATTGCACTATTTTTCAAAATATTGTGCTCTTCTAATTCTATTTACATGACAGAGAGATAAAAATTTTTCTAATTTTATTTATAAATCACCTTATTAAATTTTTAATATGAATGTACTATTTGTCCTACAGGTATTATAGTGTAGATATTTAATTTTTTCCCCCCTAAAAAGTGTTTATATTAAATAAGGATAAGGTTGAAAAGTTGTTGTACAAATTTGTAACAAAATACCTTATTTGCAATTTTTACAGTCTTTTTGTGATTTTTCCTAGTATATTATAATATTTCACCTCTTTTGTTAAAAAAAATAAAAAATAAAAGTACTATAGAAGACGAGTAAATTTCCTCCCAAATTATACTCTCGCGTCTAGGCTCCATGCCCGTACCTTACCGACGAAAACGACGTTGTTGTTTGATTGCTCTGTTCATAAACAACCAATTTCCTAAAGTCTCATGTTTTTGGTCTATCCCTTCCCGGGCACTGGAGAATTCTGCAGCCACGTTATCACTCTCTCTCTCTCGTTCCTCTGCTTCTTTTTCTGGATAAAAGAGGAAAAAAACCAGCGACGATTTCAGACTCCAACGTTATCATTGACAACTCTTTCCACAATTCGGATAACGTGAGAGGGGGAAAAAAATCAGAGATTTGGAAGAATCTCCATAAGCTTATTATTATTATCATTACACAGATGAATGCCTTTTGGGTTTCGTTGAAGGAGAATGTTAAGTGTGGAAATAAGCTCACTGATGTGGTGATAAGGCAGCAACCTGCCGTGAGAAGTGGAAAAGAAAACAGAAATATGAACAACAGAGATAATAATGATGATGGCCATTCAAATCCTTTGGCATCTCAGGCTAGTCTTGTAGCTACCACACCAAGCATGGATCCACCAAAGCTTCATGGTAAGTTCTTTGCCTTCAAATATCAGAATTCAGAAAATACTGTTATGCGTATATGGGTTGATATATTTGAAGAAGCAAAATGGAATTTTACTGATATCTTTATATCATCTTAACTAGTTTCTTCGTGGTAAATTATTTGCCTATATTCTCCTATTATATTATACTCCAACTTCTATATCAGAGTTCAGGAGTTCATTCATGCATATATATGACTTGATATCTGCAGTTCATCTTTAAAGAAATATAATTGGGTTTTACTGATATATCTGTATGATTTAACTATTTTCTTCATGGTAAATTGGTTGTTCAATTTCTTCTACCTGCAGAAACCGACAGTATGTTTAAAGCCTTCTCAGAATTTTCATTATGCTTCAGCTTTTTAATACAATTTACCAGGCTGCCAGCAAAGAGACCAGTTCATTCTATTCGAAACTCTTTTCTTCTTATTTCTTCCAATATTCATTTCATGAAAAGACGTTCTTGGAAGAGGGCTGCACAAAAACTCACTTGTCCCAAAACACCCTGATTTGCCTCATCCATTATGGGCTGGGCTGGGCTGGACCAGGCTGACAAAGAAACTGAGACCAACTTTCAAAAAATGATTTGGGCCACAAGACACCAAATTTTGCTCGGTCACAGAATTTTCCTGCTTGATCCTTGCACTGCTAGTGAATTTCCCTAAGGTTTTCCCAAGTAATCTCTGACGCAATAGACTCCCTCAAACATTAAAGTATTACTTCCTAAAAAAGAAAAGCATTGTTTTGATATTGCTTTAGTACTCAAGAGTTTGGTTCCGTTTCATGCCTATAAAATATTTTCCCCATGAAAAGATTTAGTATCATATATCTTCTCACAGCATGAAATTCTAGTAAAACTAAGCTTCCTAACAGCGAAACGATTTAAGAAAAATGTCCAGGAGAGTCAATTGGTAGTGAAGCCATCACTAAAGAACCAAAACGGGATTTAATATTCCATGTCATAGAGACAGAAAGCCAGCTAGTCTAGTTGATTCATATTTAAAACTGCTCTCTTCATTAGTCTAGTTTATTCATATTTAAAACTGCGCTCTTCATTTCCTTTCCATGTGTAAATTATCTAACTCCCTCCTTGTCCCTATGAATCTTTGGCAGAACTCAGTATAGGAGACCCATCAAGGAAAATTGTTGAGATGATATTTCACAAAGCTTGGATGAACACCTCAACTCCACAGAAAAAGGTCAGAACAGTTTTCAAGGTGAGCATTTCACCGGAAATGCTTGAGAGATTTGAGAACTACAGAGAAGTGGTTAAGAAAAAAGCCTGTGAGCAAAATCCAAGGCATCCCAGAAGCATTGTTGATGGGAATGAACTTCTGAGATTCTATGGCACCACAATGAGGTGTTTCCAAGGAAAATCCGTGCAGAAAGTTAAATATCTCTGCAATGATCCATCTTGTAGTGTTTGCCAAACAATTCAGTTCAACTTTGACACAGAATTCTCCAGAATGTCCTCTGCAAGAGCGAAGACTGAGAGAAGTGCTGTAATAGTTTGCAGGATCATTGCTGGAACTTCGGTACACGAAGTTAATGGTCAAATTGAAGGGTCTTGTTCAAATGGGGTAGGGAAAATGCAATTTAGTTTGGACAAGTTTGTTGATAGAAATCCCAGTGCTATACTTCCATGTTTTGTTTTAGTTTTTGATTGACATGTACTGTAGGCTTAAAATGACCACTACTATTATAGGTTAAATTACTTACTATTCTAGTTTCAAAGCTTGTAATTGAGCCTCTGTCACTTGAAATACGAATATCTTCTTTGATTTGATCCTTGCTAATTATACATCAATATGTTCTAATGTTATCCCATCCACTTTATTTAGCCCTTTAGCATTAAATATAATAGAGGTAAGTGATTTCATTTCATCTTCTACCATTACCCTTTTATAGACGGCATACATATTTTATCCGAAGTATTAAAATGAGACACAAAATTTTCCATGTCAATAGAATTTAATAGAACATATAAAGCTTATTAACGTTATAAGAAAACATAGCCTCCTGAAATTCTGGACGAACACCCAGCTTGTTACTGTTACTTCTTGTATTTCTGAAACAAGATCTTTGATGCTATGAATCTAATCTGAGTCTCAAAGACAAGGATGAAATATAACCTAAGGACCAAAACTATGAGACTGAAATAATGAAAACGACTGATCTGACATGGGATAGTCACCTCCAAGCACAAGATGAAACAAGAGGCTGATTCATCCAACCAAGGTATAGGGCACCATCTTTCTCTTGTAGAGTGTAGTTTCTGGAATAATCCTTCAGAAGATTCTTGATGGTAAAATTAATGAATGAGCTCAATGGATATGGACTAAACCCTGCCATTCTGAAACGTGAGTTCCAAGTTTCCAAAGTCTCATGCCGTTCCACTCTGTCTTCCCCTTCACATGCTATCAAGTTCACGATCTCTCGAGCCAAACAATGCTGTTCCACATTGATCCTGTCCCTGTCATCCCTCGGCATGACATCATCAATCGATTCAAAAACGGTCAAGTAGTAGTTAAGTGTCTGAACAAAACGTGGGAAGAAGGGAACATGATTGGTTTCATTTTCTGGCTCAACAAGGGTCACCACCTTGGGACTCAAGGAATTGACTGATCTCAACAAACGCTCTATTGTCTGATCTTGAAGATGATGCAGCATCATGAAGAAGTTCACAGCAATGGCTTCACCGGGTAAAATCTCGGAGTGTTGGAAATGAACATCCGATGCAGAAACTTCCACAGCAAGGAACTGAAATGGAACATTACATGCTTGTGCAAGTGCTGATAACCTTTTCCCCACAATCTCAAGCCCTCCTCCTCTGGAAAAAGCCGAAGTGGAGTCATCAACAGCGGTTATTCTAATCTCCGGTGGCCCTCCTGGCCGGCACGCGAGAGCTCGGATGAGACTCACCCACTGGATGCCTTGGTTTATCTGAAAATCAATTATATGAACCTTATTTTCATGCTTCATGGCTTCAGCAATTGCCCCATTTGCTGATAAATACCCAAATTTGAAGTATGGGCAGATTTCATATAATTTATTCATATAGGAGAGGAGTTCAGAAGCAGTAGGCTCTTTGCATTTTAAGGATTTGCATATTTTGCTTCCTGAAGAGGACAGTCTAGCCACAAGAGCCTCTAACACATATGCTCCTAAACGTTGTAGAGGATTTCCAGAAATGGACACCATTTCTCGCAGCTTGGATATCAGCCATTCGCTCGTCTCCATATCACTCTCCGCCATTGCATATGCACAAGCACAAAGCATCTCTTTCAAGTCTCCTCTAGATATCATCTCCATTGTCTTATTCCACTTCTCTGCTTCATACATGACTGCATCAACATCACATGTGACTGAAATTTCTGCATCAGGTCCCAGCATCGCGGTCTCCAGCTCGCGCAGCTTGTAGCTAAGGTCATCGAGGTCTTGTGTCAGCGTTAAGAAGGATTCAAGAGAATTTTGTGGCTTTAATACTGGGCTTCCATTAGCTGATGGATTACTGTTATTTGTTGAGCAAGATTCTATGGCTTGAACTAAGGAAGAGTCATATGATTCCAGAGTTTGCACAGAGCCAAAGCAAATCTCATGTTTCTGAGATACCTGCATTGTAAATTAACCACTTCTTTCACTATCCTCAGTAAATTTTAGTTTAATCTGAATTTGCGCCCTGATCTGCACAAAGGGAAAGTAAATTTTTTAGGCTGAAGATGAATGTAATGTATTGCTCGCATGAAGCTTGGAAACTATGATTTCAAATATGCTAGACTGAGCTTGTTGTTCGGATGATAGAGAAATACAGAATGTGAAAAACAAAAGTACGGAATATACACCACACAAATGGTAATGCATATTCAGAATCTACATATGCAGAAATTGAGAGTTCCTTTTTCATTTTACTCACCAAAGCATGTTTAACAGTAAATTTGAAACTTCAAAGTTTATCAATATGGTCTTTGACAAGGCAACACAAATTAATATAAAATTTATAATGAGTTACGCAAGTTATGCAATTTATAGGTTATAAACAACATAGGTCTCTTATTCCGTACAGTACATAAGAAAATATGCATAGTTCTTGGAGAAATGACATGAGGACTAATATTAAATTGATAACATTTAAGGACCTTAAAATTAAAATAATTAAAACTAGAATTTGTAATTATCAAATTTACTACTGGTTCTTTTCCAAATTGGGTCCTATATCATATGTATTTCTAATTTTCTATATAAATATATCATATATAAATTTTTTTGTTTGAGAAATAAAACTGATGATTATCATTATGAATTAATTTTATCAATTCATGACTAATTTTGAAAGAAGTCATTTTGAAGTGATCTAGACAAGATTAATTGGTTTAAATATTGCTTATAATGTAGAAAATTTTGTTAATGAAAATAAATAGTATGAAACCTGTCATAATCCTTGGAAGTAGTTTGGGGCCTTATCCCCTAAATGTCATAAGCCTCTTATAAATAAAGCAACAAACACCAATCTGAAGTATCCAAATCAAAATTAGATTATTCAAATGTAATTTAACTTTATTTTTATATTTTTAATAACTTATAATTTTATTACATATATACTACCTCTGGTCCTTAATATTAAAGCTAGCTGACTAATTTGAATATATTAAAAAATTAGTTAAATTAGTTATTTGTAATAAATAGGTGTTATTTTTTTCTAAAATACTCTTGCTAATCATGTGTATTAGCTAAAATTATCATTTAATAAAAAATTTAATATGTACAATTATTATAAAAACTACCTTAAAAAATAGATAAATATAAAAGATAAAATGGATTAGAGTCTTATATTTAGTCAAATTAGTTTTTATATTAAAGATCAGAGGTAATATAAAATTTAAAACAAAGATGGTACTATTTAACGATCATTCTATGAAAAAACAATATATTTCTTACTTCAAAATTATCAATAAAAAAATTTAAATTGGAACATTTATAGTTTATACCATTAGTCCTACATGACTTACAGACATAATATCACATTCGGTTCGTAATATAAGAGTTAGATAATTAATTTGGTGATATTAATGAAATTAATTAATTTAGTTATTTATTATAAATATATGTCGATCACTTTAAACTATTTTTTTTATCATGTGCATCAGATATTTAGAATTATTCTTAGTAAGAACCCTTGCGATCAATACGAATATTTTGAAAAAAAAAAAAAAGATATGTGAATGAAGGCCTTATATTTAAAATCAGGTCTAATACCAACTTTTATATATTAAGCAGCCTAGGTAGATTAACATAAGAGGATCTGGTGAAAAATTTTAAAAATGTAAAGCTTTAGTCTGAAAAGAATTTGAAAGGAAACCCAAAAAAAAAAAAAAATGGTTTACCAACCAAACGACTCTCTCACATCCCAGGATAATGCTTTGCTCAACAATGAAAAACAGAGATTTCTGAAACAGCCATTGCAACCGCAAACACGAAGCTATCTAAAATTTATCGAAGCGCACAGAAGAAACATGGGGACAAAGAGATTCTGATCAAACATATACAACCCAGAAACTTGATAAATCACTGCCACGAAACGAATGAAACCAACAAGGGCAGTTCAACAACATCAGAGAGAGACTCGTACCTTAAAAAACACAACACCAGCGTGGAATTCTGAGCTCAACCTCGTAAGAATTCGACGATTTAGGTTACATTTTCTGGTTTGCTTTTTTCGAGGTTGAATGAGGAAGGACACGACGCATCGTTTGTTGAAAGCTTCATCCCCTCTCTGAAATGTATTTCCGATTTGTTAATTTATAGAAAGTCTCGCTCTAATGAAATTACCTTTCTGCCACTCACATTTCACTCACGTTTCTCACCATCGGTTGAAAGTTGAAACTTGAAACCGATGTTCCTTTCATCCCTTTCTTTTAAAATTTAATTAAGAAAAATTAATTATTTAGTCATGCGGTTTTGATTTGATTATTACCTCCGGTTCTAATTATAAAACTTTATTTATAGTCTAAAAATAAAATTTTATAAAGAGGAGCAAAAGTAGTACAATTTAATCTCTAAAATTTATTAGTGTTAGTGTTTCAGTTTTTATAAAAGTATGTTTATCTTGTTTTTGCTTTATATATCAACCAGTGTCCATCCTGTTATAGGTTCTGTTTTTATTTTAATTTTTGTAAAAGAGTATGCATTATTGTAGCATGGGTTCTAAAGGCTTGTGTCCCACAGAGCCTGAAGTCTGCATATTTTGGTCTCTACAATAGTAAAATACAATCTGAAAATCTCTTAATAATATATCAGTATGATCCTTATGAAGTTTATCTAAGTTTGTCGTTCTTCATGAAAGCTTGAGTCTACAATATATTTTTCATTTTTCTTAAGAAATTTAAGTATACTCTGTATTTGCTTCTTACAGAGGATTCAGTTTATCAGAAAAAATCTAATCATGATCCATTGAGACAGTTTTTTTATTCAGATGATTAGGATTTAGTTCTAATTCCTAACCAGACTCAATTCCTAACATTACGAGATCTTACTCAGTAAAGCCATTCACAATTTCATCATAAAGGCCAAGTCATGACAGCTAAATTTATTTTTCAATGTTACAGAACTAATATTTTAAATAGTTAAAATTACAGAAATTGAGTTGCATTGTCTTAAAATTTAAGGACAAAATTACAATGATGTAAAATTATTGAGATGAAATAATTTATTTTTCCTTTAATTTTTAAAGGATTTGGGTATATTATCCCTCTAAAATACATATTTGTAGTGTATTAGTAACATATAAATATAACCCAAAATTATTATAGGGTAAGAAAAATCTGCTTAAAATTTTGATTTGCATTAAAATCAGACATATTTTTTCATTGTACGAACTATGAAGTTTAAGATTAATTATCTAATACATAATTTATAAATATTATTTGTATATAGTAGTATTACATATTCAGTTTATAATAAGATTATTTTTCATAACCTTCATCATACAGCCCATGACATTTTACAAGTTGTTTAAAACATTAATTATGTTTTAAATGCTTTTTATTTTGAAAATTACTAAATTTTCTAATGATATGCGCATCGTACAACAGTACGTACAAATATTTTGCCCGACTAGGAAGAAAAACCAGAAAGGTTAGTTTGGTCATTTTGTACAAAACGTCTACTGCGAGTTGCGGCAGAGGATGTCGGTAAAGAGTTCCAACTTCCCACAGGTGGGCTTGGAGTTGGACCCACACGGTTTTGTTACTTGCATTTCTGATTTCTCTCTTTTTCAGTTTTCCAATGTTATAAATAATTGAGAAAATGATTTTTAAAAATAAAAATTATTAAATGCTAAATAAAAATATCAACAAAAATTTGTTGTTATTAATAAATTTAGTGCTGTCAACACCAAATAAAGTATTATTATCAAACCTAATATAAAATTTAGTAATTTTTAACTGATTTTTTGTCATTTTCTCTAAATGTTTCCACCTTTTTTTATTATAATAAGATTAAAATCACATTATTTAAAATATTAGTCACGCTTAAATAAAAACAATAAATAGGTAAGATATATACATATTTTTTATTATAAAAAAAGTACGTGATAAATAATGAATAAAAATTTATTATAGAGAAATAACAAGTAGTATATATTTAATGGAAAATGGTAAGAAAAACAAAAACCATTGAACTAGAAAAATTGTAAATAAAGACCCACGACAACATTATTATGGATTTTAACAACAATAATATGGATTTTGATAATAATTTTTGTAAACCAGTCCCTATATGCAATTTGTCTATTTTAGCGGTCTTTTTTGCCATTTTCTCTATATTTAATGGTGGTAAATGTGGAAGGACTATCTAAAATCTCATACAAAGAGAATTTGTTTCTTAGATTAAGGGACATGATTACAAGAGAAATTGTTTTTTTATAAAAAGGGGACAGAATGAGTAATGACTTATCTAAAAAAATGTTATAAATAATAATAAAATCAATAATTACGACGATGATGAAGAAAGAATTACTATTAAGAATATAATATTTACATGGATATTAATATACTTCATCCAATATTATATATAAAATATAAATAATCAAAATATATAGATTAATATGGCAAAAAAATATATTAAAAAGTTGTTTAGAATTAATTAAAGAAAATAAATATGTAAAAGTATTTTTTTTTAAATATACCATTATTTATAAATAGGATAAGTTTAAAAGAAAATAAAAAAATGAAAAAGAATGTGTTGGAAAAAAAACTATATTTCCCTTTTTTTTTCCGTTCAATTCTTTATTTATCTCTAGAATTCTTTTTTTCTATAACATTATTCACGTGATTATACGATATTCATTTTTTCAGAGATCAATAAGGATCCAATGCCAAATGAAAAACAATCTAGAAGAGTTTATATTATGTGCTTGTCTTCCATGTTATCAGTTGTGTTGGAATATATTATTTAGATATGAATAAAAATGACACTGTTTATTTATTTTTTATTTACAAATTAATTTATCACAAAAAACTATTTCATTGAAAATTTTCTGCTTACATTAAGAGTTAAGTAATTTAATTTTTAAAAAATTGTACAATTTTCTTTTTACTTTAAAAAAATTAAAATTTTTCATAAGTTAACTTATATTCCCTCCGGTTCAAAATATAATTTAAACTTTATCCATTGTGTTTATCAAGAAACTAATTAAAATCCATTTAAAACAATAAATGTGAAAGGTATATATTTGTTTTTCCTAATATACCCTTATTAATGAAGAAAATAAGTAAAATATGTAATAAATGAATTAAAGAAGAAAGAGAATATATGAGGGTAAAATTGAAAAAAATCTCATTAAATGCTTGAACAAAAATAAATGTTATCTTATAAAAAAACTAATCTTTTTAAAAAGTTTAACTTATATTTTAACTGGAACCGGAGGAGTATTTCCATGCTGGGCTCTTTTTCAATCACATTCATGCTGGACTTTATTTATTGGTTAACTGACGAAGTCAATGCCCAATCTCGTCGTTTAGTTTACCAAAAATTATTTTTTAAAACAAAATTGTCGTTTATTTCAAGTCAATTATTATGTATTATCAAATCAAAAAGGTAAGAGAGTCCGCAAATTGGTCTTCTAAAGCACGAGAAGGAGGCGAAATATAAGTAAATTGCTGTGAGTGGAGCACATCATTTTGCCAACCAGATGTGAATGGTTGTGCAAGTTTGGTTGAAACGATGGTGGTTGTATTGTCGTTTTCTTTTTCATTTCAACACCGTCCACTTCCAAGGCTTCTTTTTCAATTATAATATCATGTTATCATGCCTGTTCTATTTTCATCACCAATACGTCATTCATTTTGTAATATTTTGATTCAAATTTTAAGGATTTTGGGATGATTAATGTGGAAATCAGCGAAAATTTTCTATTTAGATATTTTATTAGCCTAAAGGATCAAAATTTTGATTACTGATTGTTATAATATTTTGTGGGTATGTCCAAATGAAAAGTCCTGCATTGCTCATACGCGTCGGATTCTTAAAATATAAATAACAACCCATGTAACTATGGGCTAGTGAATTAGCCAAGAGGAGGGGAAACTCGTACGCACGACAAGGAGGAGAATGCGGTAGAAAACCGTTAAATTTTCCTCCCGATCCGCAAAGTACTGATACTACATTTTATGTTTAGAGACTGTTGGTATTAGTCAATGCAATTTTCAAACATTTGCATTTTATTGAGTTTTCTATGACTTTAATTAATTCTTTATTTGCTCTTTAACTCAGTTGGGAACAAAAATATTAAACAAACTAGAAGATCATCAATATATCAATATAGAACTTGAAACAATAGGAAGAACCATGAACATGGGAACGGCAGAAATTCTCTCACAATTTCTATTCTTAGACTGACACCTTGATTTTTATTTATTTATTTTTACATGCGTACAAAATACTATGCCTATAAATATTGGAAGAACGACAATTAAAAACCCCCTAAAAACATCAATTTAAAATAAAGATGTTAAAATCGTAAATCTAGAAATTCAAGTTATTCATAAGTTATTATTTTACATTAATTTAGTCATAAATAAATCTTTATTTCACATTAATAATCTTAAAGGTCTTTAATTGTCAATCTTCTTTAATTATTTACTAAAAATGTCACTATTTTATCAATAGGTGCTGATTCTAGTAGAAGAGACTCTAACCATTTAAACATGAGATTTCAAGTTTGAAGCAGTGTAAATGCATAGGACGCTTTTAAGAAAATATTCTCAATGAGGTCCAATAATATTCCAATCTAAAAGGGAATGTCATCATTCTCTCATATGAAGGTCCCATGTTCTTGGTTCATTTGCAAGAAGTCCGTTCCCTACCATAAGTATTATATTTCAGACTTGAAATTTTATATCGTTTAGGGTCAAAGGAAAGAGCATTACTGTTCATGACTTGCAAACATTACAAACTCTTTACATCTTTTATGAAATATATGAATATTGACATCAATATCAATTAGTTTTATGTTAATAAAGCATAAAATAAATTTATCCTGAATTGCCTAAAATTGAGAAGATAGATTGAGGCCCACTTAGCCTATTACTGAGCTAGGTTAAGGAAACAATTAACATGTTTTTTTATAAGGAAAAGTATTTTTTATTAGAAATAATCATGTTCGAAACACTGTTAAATACTAAATATAAATATATCTCTTAGTAATAATTCTAA